AACTTAAACACATTTAAGCTTTAGACATTACTTTTGTTGTTTTATGTCCTCTAAATATTTATTTTAATTTTTCCATCACAATATTATTTCCTTTAGATGTAGAAGCTTCCAAAAAAAATGTTTAACCCTGAACACTGACAAAACTGTCACAATGATCTTTGGAACAGTACCTAAATTACACAAATTACACAATTCCCACCTATCCATCAAAACAAATTCAAATGGCACACTGACCACAGTCCACTCTTTCAAATACTTGGGTATGATATTAGACCCCAATCTATCTTTTGGCTTGCATATAGAAAAGCTTGCATCTAAACTTTATCCAAAACTAGGTGCCCTGTACAGAAACAAATCCTGCCTAAGCCCTACAGTAAAGGAAAAGATTGTACAGCAAATGCTGATGCCAATCATTGATTATGGGGATGTAGTATATGCGTCTGCATCTCAATTCCACATTAATAAACTCAACACATTGTATAACTCGTTCTGCCGATTTGTGCTACAATGTAATTACAGGACCAGGGCCGGCCTTAGGCAATTAGGCGCCCTGTGCAAAAAGTCTTCACGGCGCCCCCCCCACCTCCCACCAAGTTGCCTGAATACAGTAACACACACAGGCACCGGGGACGTGTGTATCACGAGGCAAACAAGGCATCTGCCTTGGGCGCCACTTTGCAGGGGGCGGCAAAAAAAAGCATCCCTCCAAACCCCCAGGCAGATCCCTTGCTTGCCTCGCATCCTGGGGGGCTCACCTGAGCTCTTCCTGCTCAGCTTCCTCTGCGCCGCTTAATGAAGCCGGGAGCCAGAATATGACGTCAGTCCGGCTCCCGGCATCACTAAGCGCTGCTTACTCAGCCTGTGCGCCCCCTGCCTGCCTGCCCAGCAGCCACACTGGACTGCTGGTAAGAAATCCACTCCAGCTTTCCCAGGGAGGCTGGGTGGATTTAAAATAAATGTAAAAAATATTAGTTTGTGAGTGTTAGTGGAAATGTCTGTGTGTGTGTCTGTGAGTGTTTATTTTGAAGTGAATGTGTGTGTGTGTGTGTGTGTGTCTGTAAGTGTGTAATTGTGTGTGTCTGTAAGTGTGTAATTGTGTGTGTCTGTAAGTGAATGTGTGTGTGTCTGTGAGTGAAGTGTGTGTTCGGTCAGTGAGTGTATATGTGTCGGTCAGTGAGTGTGTATGTGTCAGTCAGTGAGTGTGTATGTGTCGTCAGTGATGTGTCAGTGAGTGTGTAGGTCAGTGAGTGTGTATGTGTCGTCAGTGAGTGTGTGTAGGTCAGTGAGTGAGTGTGTAGGTCAGTGAGTGAGTGAGTGTGTGTCAGTCAGTGAGTGTGTGTCAGTCAGTGTGTATGTGTCGGTCAGTGGAGTCGTGCATCTTTCAGTGAGTGCTTGCATCTGTCAGTGAGAGTGTGCATCTGTCAGTGTGTGTCCAAGTAATAGTGTATGTGTGTATGTCATTGTTTGTCAGTGTGAGAGTGTGTGTCTGTCAGTGAGTGTGCGTCTGTCAGTGAGTGAGCGTCTGTCAGTCAAAGTGCGGCCTTGACAGGAAGGGGTGGGGGAAATTTAAACTCGGTTACAGGCATGTACACACACACTCAGTTAAAGGCAGTCACACATACAGACACAGGCACAAACAATGGCACAGCTACAGCGACACACACAGACAGACAGTCACATAGGCAGTCACACACACAGACAGACAGACACACAGTAACACACACATAGACAGTTATACACACACAGGCAGGCAGTCACACAGATAGAAAGTCACACACACAGGCAGGCAGTCACACACAGACAGTTACAGACAGACACACACAGGCAGGCAGGCAGTTACATACAGGCAGTCACACACACAGACAGTCACACACACAGACAGTCACACAGACAGACAGTCACACAGACAGACAGTCTCACACACACAGGCAGTCACACAGACAGACAGTCACACAGACAGACAGTCACACACACAGGCAGTCACATACATGGGCAGTCACACAGACAGACAGTCACACACACAGACAGTCACACACAGGCAGGCACACACAGAGACAGTCACACACACACACACACAGAGACAGACAGTCACACACACACACACACACACAAGGACAGGCAGTCACACAGACAGTCACACACACAGACAGTCACACGCACACAGGCAGGCAGTCACACAGACAGACAGTCACACAAACAGGCAAACAGTCACACACACACACTTACCTCTTTCCAGTGGATGCAGTTGGCTGATGGTGAAGCATCTTTCCCTCTTCCTGTACAGCAGGGGCTTCGGGAGGTATTAGCCCCGTCTCCGCCTCTCGATAAGCCCCGCCTCCGCCGCTCGGTAAACCCCGCCCCCTCTGCCGCGATTTTTTTTTTTTTTTTGAATAGACCCGGGTGGAGAATAATTAATCCTCCAGCCAGGTACCTCTTTTAGCTCCCCTGCACTCCGGCCATGAGTGAGCTGTGTCGGCCACAGGGCGCCCCCTGTTCCATGGCGCCCTGTGCGGTCGCACAGCTCGCACACCCCTAAGGCCGGCCCTGTACAGGACCCACCATTGTGACATGCTAAAAGAACTAAACTGGCTGTTGCTGGAATCCAGACGCACCCTTCATCTTTCCAGCCTTATGTTTAAGAGCTTTTCTGGGAAACTCCCACCCTACCTGAACAAAATGCTTTCCCCAGCTGTTCACACTTCCTATAAACTCCGATCCAGTACCAACACTTTACTTAGTCTATCTCAATACAAAAAGAAAACAGCCTGATCCTCCTTCTCCTACATAGCACCGCAATTGTGGAACGACCTCCCGCACAATTTAAAATCATCCGAAGCCTAAAGTCCTTTAAGAGATCCCTCTCTACATACCTCAAAACAGAATGCACATGTCATAGTTGATTATATATTTCCTACCTGTTCCATGTTAAATTTTGTATTTATTGTGTATTAATATTGTTTTTGTATTTTATTGTACCCTAATGTAACAATGCAATGATTTGTGGACCCAGGACATACTTGAAAACGAGAAAAATCTCAATGTATCTTTCCTGGTAAAATATTTTATAAATAAATAATAAATAAATAAATAAGGGAAAATTTCTCTGTTATTTAATCCATATCCTTGTATTAATTGTGGAAAATTCTTAATTATTTTACCTATATACAATTGTTTGATATTAATTATACCAGCTTTTCTCTAAGTCTCTAAATCTAAGTCTTGTACATTGGATTCTATAATATTAACCCCTTAAGACCGGAGGGCATACTATTACACCCTATTTTAAGCGGCTCTAAACGCCGCCAGGCGTAATAGTACGCCTGTAACGGAGCTCCTTGTACTCCGACTGAGTACCCTCCGTTGACGGATGCTCCTAGCGCTTCCTGAGGACTCCAAGTGCTGCAGCAGACACCACAACCACCGCAGACTCCGCAACCGCCGTATCTTGACTGGAGTCTCTCCGTCTTCCTTCCACCCTGGATCAGCTTCTGTCCTCCAGGACTGTGTGGGAAAGAACTCTTCCTTCCACCCTGTATGAACCTCCAGCATCCAGGACTGTGTGTTGTTAACATCTCCCCTGTTAACCCTGGGGCCAAGTTAGGAGTTAGCTGGGGAGGGGAATTCGTACTTACCCCCTCCTCCTGTTGTCCCTGTGAGGGTAGTTGGGGATCTGGACAGGCTGTCCAGCATCCCTGTAGATCAGGCACAGAGACCACGGTCCCCTCTGCGCCATCTGGGAGATTGGTGTCTCCCTTTGGTAGGGTAAGCTGCCGCTGGGGAGATAGGGTGCTGTGCTCCTCTCCCTGAAACACAGGCTGCCGCTGGAGAGGGAGACCGCCTGTCTCCACTCCCATAACATTGTCCTGCTGCTGGAGAGAGAGACCAGCTGTCTCTGCTCCCTGTAGGACACACTGCTGCTGGGGGGGAAGGACGACACCTTCGGCCCCCTGGAATTTGCACTGCCGCTGGGGAGGAAGGACGACACCTTCGGCTCCCTGTAACTTGCACTGCCGCTGGAGACTAGGTGTCCATATCCTCAACCTCCACAGTTGTCGCTCAAAGGCCATTGCTGCACTGTTCTCAGCACTCAACTGGCGCATTACTTGGTGGACCACCTCATTCGAAATGTCTGGGCCATAGCAGACCAACCGCCTCTTTACCTCCTCAATGTAAGCGTCGTCCTCGTAGCGATGTATCATGTTGAGGTGCTCTTCGCAGGGCTCTATTCATCCCTGCTCCATGCTGCTGTAGTTAGGGACGCTGCACAGTGGCTAGCGTTGCCCTCAATAACCTCTCATACGATACCAGTGTCTCCGAGCTGCTTCTCCTCGCACTAGGACGCCATCCCACCGCTGCCACCAATGTAACGGAGCTCCCTGTACTCCGACTGAGTACCCTCCGTTGACGGATGCTCCTAGCGCTTCCTGAGGACTCCAAGCGCTGCAGCAGACACCACAACCACCACAGACTCCGCAACCGCCGTATCTTGACTGGAGTCTCGCCGTCTTCCTTCCACCCTGGATCAGCTTCTGTCCTCCAGGACTGTGTGGAAAAGAACTCTTCCTTCCACCCTGTATGAACCTCCAGCATCCAGGACTGTGTGGTGAAGACCCCTCCTCCAAGGAGAGCGTGTTAGGAACAAGCTCTTAAAAGAGCTAAGTGACTCAAGCTCAGGAGAGCATGCAGAGCATAGCAATCCCCAGTGTGATTATAACAGCTCTCTCCAATAACGAGACAAGGCTACATTTAGATGGATCAAGAAGAACTGTCAAAACCTTTATTTCCCTTGGGACCAGCCAATAGGGTCACCACAATAACATTGTTGTGGAACCTCAATAAAATCACAAACAGTCAAACCATATCAAGCAACACACAGTGACTTATCACAACACAATGGCACATTTTTAAAGGGGTGGGGGGAGACAATATTTAACAGTAAATATCTCACCTGCCTGCAGAATTAACAATATGCAAATCTACCCGAATATGCAAATGAACCAGTCTTGCAATTCAGGTAGTGCATATTGCTGTTGCTACCAACAGAGGGCACTAGACAAGCTCCATAGCCAAACCCACCTAGTTGGTAGCAAGCAAACCTCAGCAATACAAGAAAGCAGGCAATACATTACACAGTACACACACACACACACACACTATAAACAATTACATTACACACACCCTGCACCTATAATGGGTACAGGGTGACTAAAACATAAGATAAATAAAGCAGCCCACATAAATAGTCTGTCTGAAGGTAGACTAGGGGCTTTAAAGCCAGATACATGAAAGAGTCATAGTCACAGGGGAGGCGGCTGGCAAGTAGGCCTCTCCAGGACCAAGTGGTGAAGGGCACTTCGTCACAACGCCCTCCGGTCTTTCTGTACTTACCCGGTCGCCGGCGATCCCACGCCGGCGATCGCGGTTGGGGGGACTCCTAGGGACCCCCCCGCGGCACGTCCGACCCCCTGGAAGCACCCCCGGCCATGTGAGAGTGAGGTCCTTGTGAGGACCTCACAATCACATGGCCGGGATAGCTGCCTGCTGTATTGCCAGCAGGGGGGCTGCCTGTAATGACAGGTAGTCCCCCTGCTGGCTGAAAATAAAATTAAATAAAATTAAAAAAAGTTAAAAGTGTAAAAAATAATAATATATAATTAGATTATATATATATATGATCTAAGTATACATATATACACATATACATACACACACGTACAGTGTATAGGTGTATTTTACTATTAATATATATATAATTATATATATTAATATCAAATTACACGTAGACTGATACTGATTAAATATATATATAATTATTGTTATATATATATTTATATATAATATAAAAAAATTAAATATGTAAATACGTTAAAAAATAAAATAAAATAATTAAAAAAATAATTAAAAAATATATAGATGTGTGTTATTTCATTCTGTTTTGTGATATTAATATATATATATTTATATCAAAATACACGTAGAACGAAATAATATACATATCTATATACATAAATATATATGTATATATCACTATATATATACCTATATATAAATAAAAATATTTTAAAAAAATTATATATATATATATATATACATATATATATTCACATACGTATATATATACATATATTAATTCTACATATATATTTATGTAATAATTTTACATAATTGGGTATCTTAATTAATTACAATTAGCAGGACCTGCCTGACAACCCATGCCGAAAGTAAAGGGAATTTAATTTGCTAGCACTATATTTAACCCTATAACTTTCCAAGACACCATAAAACCTGTACATGGGGGGTACTGTTCTACTCGGGGACTTCGCTGAACACAAATATTAGTGTTTCAAAACAGTAAAATGTATTACAACGATGATATCGCCAGTAAAAGTGAAGTTTTTGCATTTTTCACGCACAAACAGCACTTACACGGACGATATTATTGCTGTGATACTTTTACTTTTTAGCTAAATATTGTGTTCGAAGTAACAATACCCCTCATGTACAGATTGTATGGTGTTTTCAAAAGTTACAGTGTCAAATATAAGGCTTGTGTTTCATTTTTTTCACATTAAAATTCGCCAGATTGGGTACATTGCCTTTGAGACCCTATGGTAGCCCAAGAATGAAAATTACCCCTATGATGGCATACCATTTGCAATAGTAGACAACCCAAGGTATTGCAAACGGGGTATGTCCAGTCTTTTTTAGTAGCCACTTTGTCACAAACCTTGGGTTGTCTACTATTGCAAATGGTATGCCATTATGGGTGTAAATTTCATTCCTGGGCTACTATAAAGTCCCAAAGGCAAGCGTAACCAATCTGGCGAATTTCAATTTCAAATGTAGCGTGCTATATTTGACCCTGTAACTTCCCAAAACGCCATAAAACCTGTACATAGGGGGTACTGTTTTACACGTGAGACTTTGCTGAATACAAATATGTGTATTTTATTGCAGTAAAAGCAAACAGTATTATGACATTGACAAATGTCATGTAGAACAAAAAAAATCTAAAAAATTCTTATTTTCTCCCATTTTTTTCATATTAAATTATGTTTCATAGCTAACTATTTGATATTAAATGAAAGCACTGTTTCCCCTGAATAAAATTATATATAATAAGGGTGGGTGCATTTAATATGAAAGAGGTGAATTACGGTTGGACAGACATGTAGCGCAAATGCCAGGTTTTGGTTACATTTTGTTTCGTTCACAACGTGTACATTCGGCTCCGTCCTTAAGGGGTTAATGTTTCCCAATACATTTCCCAATATCTGTTTTTGTATTCCTAAGGTTTTTTTGATATGCCACCATGCCTTCAATAAATTCTCTAATACAAAACAACTAACTGTTGGCCTTTTATTATAAACATAGAAGATTTCCTAAATGGCACAATAAGGTTCCTTAGAGCCAAGCATGCATTTCTCAATCTTATACCAAATTTCATATTCTATATTTGGTTCATATATGTGACAAAATGCCTTTCGTCACTGGATTTTTATATGACCAACTGCCATTTGCCCCTGGCTGTTGGAGGAGCCTGATTGACAGCCTCCTCCCTCATGACTATGGCCCTGGGGTGTATTGCCATTTAAAAAGACTATTTGGGGCTTACTAAAAGACTGTTTCTGCCCATTTGAATCCATGGGAAGATGTGTCTCTCCCCCCCCACCTCGTTTCCTGTCTATTGTTCAAGCAGGGCATTGTCCCAGGCACACTGCTAGACCAGTTGGAACTTGCTGTTTTGCCCCTCCTCAGTCTCTCATCAGCTCTTGCTATGTTTTAACTCTATGGCGATTTGACTGTGTTTGTGGCATCTGAGCGCTTTTTTGATATATTGAGCGCTCAGGTCCAAGCTATCTGTGGGGGTTCTATTAAGTATAATAGGAATTATGTATTTTTGCTGTTGTTGTGAATAGAGATATTTTCTGTACCTGGAGATAGTTGGCTTACCAGTTAAGCCAATTATCTCCAGGATAGAGGGCTCTGTGGAACTGGTTTTGGCTGGAAAAGCCATGCTTCAGTGGTCACAAAGGACTTTCGACCTAACTTTTAAACCACTGGAGGGAATTGTCTGATTTTTGAGTATGTTTGTATTTGGAGTATGCTGATTCTGAAAATGTGCATGTGATGTATACTTTTAGAGTTATGAATATTGTGTAAAACTGTGTATTTTCCTGCCTGTGATAATTAAGTTAGACCATTGTGTTCAGTAATTATATCACAGGCAGAGGGGAGGATTTTGTGTGGGAGTGTCTGAGTGTATTGTACGTATTGATTGGTTGTTCGGCAAAACCAAGTGGGGAGTACTATGTGTGTAAAATGTGAATAAAAGAGGCTGTATGTGCCAGTACAGACAGATCTTCTTGACCCTCAACACGTAGTCTTGTCTTGTGATTGGAGGGAACTACTATATCACACTGGGGATTGCTATGCTCTGCATACTCCCTTGAGCTTTAATCACTTAGCTCTTTTAAGAGCTTGTTCCTGATACTCTCCTGGAGGAGAGGTCTTTCCCACATGGTCCTGGAGGACAGAAGCTGATCCAGGGTGGAAGGAAGATGGCGAGACTCCAATTAAGCTATGGCGGTTGTGGAGTCTGCGGTGGTTGTGGTGTCCGGTGCGGTGCTTGTGGTCCTCCGCGCAAGCTAGAAAGCGTCCATCAATGGAAGGTTCTGTTACAATATATATGTGCCTGCTGCAATTTATTATGAACGCGGTGGCAAGGCTCATTTTCCTGTCTGCCCGCACCTCCCCACTCTGTCAGTCCCCTACAACATAGGGTTGTGTGCAGGAATAGCACACACCAGCTTTATGAAATACACATTACAAAAACCTTGTTATATGTATATGCCAAAATAGAGAAAAAACACTCTAACACTCCAATATTTAGCAGAGATTGGCAATGAAATGGCTACGTAAAAAGTGTCAAAATAACCTTAGGTAAATAGCCTGTGATGTCTACTTTATATAAATATATACTTTTGTGTGGTAATTTTGTTTTCTGTGATGGCTTCTAAACGTACGAGACAAACATACCTACTTCTAAAATTGTTTCACATTGAAATTTTATTTTAGTCCTTTTACTACCTGTAACTTTCAAAATAAGCTGAAATCCTACACATATTATGTACTCAATAAATCAAGACACATAAATTAATTTATTTTGAATTATTTTTTTTCCCCAATTTTTTTGGCATTTGTTTAATAATTAATGAGAATTTTTATATGTATACATGACATCAAATTAAAGCCCTTTTTTCCGTCTAAAAAACAGTGTATAATATGTGTTGGTGCAATAAATGACAGAGATGCAAATTGCGTTTGAACACAAACAGCAAAAATTGCAAATGTGGCTTGTGTCCTTAAGGGTAAGTCCAGTTTTTAAAGCTGCGTCCTTAAGGGGTTAAGAGCTATTGAATAAATAAATTACGAACACTAAATACAAATTTCTTAGAGAATTGATCCAATCTCAAAGTCAATATTTAACCCTTGGGGCACAAAGTTTGAAGTTCAAATATCCAATTGATTTCTTTTTTGTTCAGATTAAAAATACTATTTCCGTCCCTCCAATGAGTTTTAACTTTCTCAATTGCCATAAATTCCATTCCTTTGGGATTAGAATTGTGTCTCTCTAAAATGTACTTTGACACACTGTGGTTTAAAAATCCAATTTTAATATTTCTAATATGCTCATTAATTCTTGTTTTTAGGGGTCTGGGCGTTTTCCCTATATACTGGAGACCACGTGTGCATCTCAATAAATAGATTAAATTTTTAGATTCACATGTGATAAACTATTTCATATTAAAATCTTTTTTTGTTGTAGATGTAAAATCCTATCATTTTCTCAGTAATCAATGTATTTTTATAGGCATTGCAATTGCCACAGTGGTAAAAACCCTTTTGTTTTTGGAACCAATCCTCTATAAAATTGTTTCCTTTTTCTTTTTTTACATAGCTAGAAGTTAATATTTGTTTAAAATGTTTTGCCCCCCTAAAAACAAACTTAGGTTTATCTCCTACAAAATCATAAATATCTTGCTCCTATTTAAGTATGTGCCAGTTTTTATTTATATTTCTTTTTAAAACACGATGTTACTACAGTAATTAAAAATAAGTGGGATTTGTTTAACTTTTATAGTTATACCTTTCTTTTATATTCCAATAATTGTGACAGATTTAATCTATTAATGTCATCAATCCTTTTTAGAGGCTTTCCTCTGT